CAGCGATGACAGCATTGGGAGAGAGCCCCCGATGGAACTTCGACATCTGAGTGCAGTGCGGCTGTTCATCCGCGGATTCCTCCCCGAAGATTCAGTGGTATGCATGATTTCTTCAGTTATTACTTTCCCATAGTATGTATGACCACAAAACTGTTGAGTTTACGTTGGTTTTATAGGTTTCTTAACCATTGTATTGTGATGGGTCACTTTGTTATTGGGCCTGGGCAGTGTGGCCCATTTATTTTGTGCATCTGGTTTCCCCTTATCTTTTGAACTCTCTTCTGTATTGTTTTATCGGATAGTTATGCAGAACAGGTTTTTCTAGGGTTCTTGTTCTCAATACATCATTCTCTGTTATTCTCTAAAATCATATGGTATCAGAGCCAGGTTGGCTTAGGTACTGAGAGCGAGCTGGTTCTTCCACCCCATTCAATATTCTTCTGCCCTGTTCAAGAAAGATGGACAGCAACAAACTCATTTCAGTTCCGATTACTCTCAAGAGAGGAAGCAACTACTTGCTGTGGTCTAGACTGGTGAAGACTGCGATTGGAAGACTAGGGCTATGGAGTCACATCACAGATGAGGCTCAGAAAAAACCAATGACCAAAGAAGATGAAGACATGAAAGCAAAAGAGCAAGCTTTAACTGAGTACAAGAGGTGGGTACAGGATGACCTGATGGTGCTATCCGTGCTACAAGGTTCTCTTGAAGTTCCCCTCCTTGAAGCCTACAGCTACTGTGAGACTCCTAAACATCTATGGGAGACACTCCAGAAGACGTTTGGTAATGAAAACAACCTTAGCCGAGTGTTTGAGTTGAAAGGGGCTATCAACTCTCTTGCGCAGGATGGTGAAGAGTTCACCAAACATTTGGGAAAGTATAGATCTTTATGGTCTGAACTTGAAAGCCTCAGACCCAACACCATCGATCCAGAGGTCCTTGCTGAAAGGAGAGAACAAGATCAGGTTTTTGGGTTGTTGTTGACCTTGGATCCGTCATACAAGGATGTGATTGCACACCTTCTGAGGTCCTCAAAACTACCAATTATGGAGGAAGTTTGTGCACAACTTCAAAAGGAAGAAGGATCCATGGGTCTCTTTGGCAGGAAAAAGGAGATTGCCATGGCACATAAGGCTGATGAGGTTAATGCTAACCGAGCTATGTAAAAAGGGGGAGAAAGGAAGTATGGTGAAAGGTTTGCGGGTGAGTGTGATCATTGTAAGAAACCAGGACACAAGAAGAGCCAATGCTGGATACTTCATCCTCACCTCAAGCCGCCAAAGTTCAACAAAGATAGGGAGGCAAGAGCTCATCTTTCTGCTGAAGCAAGTGGAACTGGTTCATCCAGAACTAGTTCAAATGCTCAAGTGGGTGAAAGTGAAGGAAGAGCTTTGACCTCACACCACTTGGGAGGGAAGAACATGGAGAGTGAGATGATCAGGAGGTCTGACATTGAATCCCTCATCAAAGCTCTTAAGGAGCATGGTAACCCTCTTAGAAACACCCTTGGATACTCTTATACTGCTCATGGGATGTCTAGTAACTCTACCAGGTTACTTGATATGCTTGAAAGCTTGTGCATTAGAAATGAATCACCTAGGTCTCATATTGCTCATGAATTAACAGGACCATTGATCATTGACTCTGGTGCTTCTCATCACATGATTAGTGACGCCAAACTTATTAGAGATATAGAACCTGCTCATGGTCATGTTATGATTGCTAATGGTGATAGAATTCCTATTAAAGGAATTGGGAAATTGAAATTGTTTAATAAGGATTCTAAAGCTTTTTACATGCCTGAGTTTACCTCTAATCTTTTATCTGTTAAGAAGTGCACCACTGATCTACATTGCAATGTTATTTTCAGTCCTAATGATGTGAAATTTCAGGATATTGAAAGCAGTAACTTGATTGGGCAAGGAGTGACCAGGGGAGATCTTTATTTGCTTGAAGACATTGTCCTTAGATCTAGCTCTTGTTACTCTTTTAATTTTGTTTCCTCTTTGAATAAAGATGTTTTATGGCATGCTAGGCTTGGACATCCTCATGTTAGAGCCTTAGGTTTAATGCTACCTGGTGTCAATTTTAAAAATAATGAATGTGAGGCATGTATTTTGGGAAAGCATTGCAAGACTGTCTTTGAAAGATCTTCTACTGTTTATGAGAAGTGTTTTGACTTAGTTCACTCTGATGTTTGGAATGCTCCTTGTTTATCTAGAGATAACTACAAATATTATGTCACATTCATTGATGAGAAATCTAAATACACCTGGCTAACCCTCATTAAAACTAAGGACAGGGTGCTTGATGCTTTTAAAAATTTTCAAGATTATGTGACTAACCATTACAATGCCAAGATAAAGATTTTCAGGTCTGATAATGGTGGAGAGTACACAAGTAATGCCTTTGAACAACACCTTTCTCTACATGGGATTTTGCATCAGACAAGCTGCCCCTACACCCCTCAACAGAATGGAGTGGCTGAGAGGAAGAACAGACATCTGATGGAAGTCGCCAGGTCCATGATGTTCCAAACCAGTGTTCCAAAAAGGTATTGGAGTGATGCTGTTGTGGCTGCGTGCTATCTAATCAATAGGATACCAACAAGGATACTAGATGATCAGTCTCCTTTTGAGGTTCTGAATAAGAACAGACCTGTCCTGGATCACTTGAGAGTATTTGGATGTGTGTGCTATGTTATGGTGCCAAGTGAGATGAGGAACAAGCTTGAAGCAAAGAGTACCAAGGCTATGTTCATTGGGTACTCTACAACACAGAAGGGGTATAAGTGCTTTGATCCGGATACTAGCAAAGTATTAGTATCCAGAGAAGTGAAGTTCATGGAAGAAAAGGGATATTATGAAGGACAGAATTGGGAAGATCTGGAGGACCTATCTCGACCATCAGATAAAGCTGCTAGTCTGAAGATTATACTTGAAGGACTTGGGATTGGAATGTCCCAAGATCAGAGAAGGCATCCTCCACCTAGTAAACATACAACTGAAGAACCAACACACTTTGATCATGAGGGAGGAGAAGAACCTGAGGCTGGAGGTCAAGAAGATCAAAGCTTAATCAACACTGAACCTGATCAAAGTAGGGTTAAAGAAGTTGCTACTGAATCTATTGAGGAACCAGAACAAGTTGAACCTGAACCGATTGTGGAATCAGGAAGTTCTGAACCTGAACCACCTGAACCGATTGTTCCCTTGAGAAGAAGCACACGGGTAAGGAATCCTTCCAAGTGGGTGAACACGAGAGTGTACTACAATGCTCAGGCTGTGGAACATCCCTCTCAAGCTGTATGCTCTTTTGCTAAGTATCCTAAGGATCATTGTACTTTCATGATAAGCTTAGACGAGAACTGGGTTCCGCGGTCTTATGAAGAGGCTATGATGCATGAGGAGTGGAGAGAGTCTGTTAGAGATGAAGCTAATGCTATGATAAAGAATGACACTTGGTATGAGAGTGAATTACCAGAAGGGAAGAAGGCAGTGACGAGTAGATCGATATTCACCATCAAATACTTACCTAATGGAAAGGTGGATAGATGCAAGACAAGACTTGTGGCAAGAGGATATACCCAGACATATGGAGAGGACTACATTGACACATTTGCTCCTGTTGCCAAGTTGCACACAATCAGAATTGTCCTATCTCTTGCTGTGAATCTTGAGAGGGAACTTTGGCAGATGGATGCGAAGAATGCTTTCCTTCAAGGTGAACTAGAAGATGAAGTATATATGCATCCCCCACCAGGTTTAGAAAGTCTAGTGAAGCCAGGATATGTCTTGAGACTAAGGAAAGCCATCTATGGCCTAAAGCAATCTCCTAGAGCTTGGTACAACAAATTGAGCACAACTTTGAATGGGCGAGGTTTCAGGAAGTCTGAGTTAGATCACACTCTCTTCACTCTCACCACTCCCTCAGGTATTGTCTGTTTACTTGTTTATGTTGATGATATCATCATAACAGGTAATGATAAAGCTGGTATACAAGCCACTAAAGATTTTCTAAAAACTGTGTTTGAGATTAAAGACCTAGGAAAAATGAAATACTTTCTTGGAATTGAATTGTGTAGATCCAAGGAAGGTTTGTTCATTTCTCAAAGGAAATATACACTTGATCTTTTGAAAGATGCAGGAGGTCTTGGTGACAGGACTGCTAAGATGCCGCTTGAGGATGGATACAAGGTTCCACGTGAGGGGGAGATTGAAAACACCAAGCCTTTCCATGACCCACAGCTTTATAGAAAGCTAGTAGGTAAGCTTATCTACTTAACTATCACACGTCCTGATATTTGTTTTGCTGTGAATCAGGTGAGCCAGCATATGCAAGTTCCAAAGGAGTACAACTGGCGCATGGTAGAAAGGATACTTATGTATTTAAATGGCACACCTGGTGTAACACTGTCCCCAAATGTATTTACTTTTAAGTGAATATTGTATTTTAACCTTATGGAATGGTTGACGAATTTACGATGTTATGAATTTTTATTAATAATTTTGCGTGAATAGTAATTTCGCACGTGGGGCCCACACCGGGAGCGGGGACCGCCCCATATTCCCGGGACCACATAAATTATTCATCTTGGTCTAGATAATATTTATATGGTGGTGGATAACTCATTTGAGCCATGGAAAGGTCCAGAGTTGACCGATTGGTCAAAAGAGGCCCGAATACCGGTATTGGCAAATTAACCGATAAAAGCCCGAAATTGAATTTCGGGGACTTATAAATTAAAGTTTGGGAATGAATATTCATTATAAGGGTCATAATGATGGTGAACACATAATATATTTTATTTGACCCGATAAAATAAAATAAAATTAAAACAGTCCGAAAAATACAACTTTCGGGACCGATTGTACACTTCTGGACAAAAAGGGTTGACCTCCCACATGGGTGGGGGCCAACCCACGAATTTGGAAGCCAAAGGGGGCTGATTTGTGTCACACTTGAGCTGTGAGACAAGAGGGAGGTGGGAGGAAGCTATCAAGGTACCATGAGGGGGTCCATTTTCACATTATTTTGAGAGAAAAGCCAAATAGGCTATCCCCTCACTCACCCTCTCCCATTATTTCGGCCAAAGAGACCCAAGAGAGAAGGATAACTCTTGCAACCTCATCCTCCATAGCCAAGAACTGAACTCAAGCTTAAGGAGTCCAAAGAAGGGGTTTTTAAGAGGGAAAAGTTGGGAGAAAGTGTGAAAGATTAAGGTAATAACCTTATATTAGCTTTTCCTTTACTTTTCTTCTACCATATGAGATATATATCATATGAGGAACTTTGAGGATTGTTCTACATGACTTAAGTGTAGAATGATGGGTTGGAAGGTAGTTCTAAGTCCAAAAACGGACTTAGGAGCCGAACCGACAAGTTCACCGGAAAATAACCTTTTAGAGGTTATTTGTATTGATTAAGGTTTTATGATGTTAAAACCTTGTTAGGAACTTGATTAAAGTGTTTTTGAGCTTCGCCGGAGTTTCACCGGAGTTGGTCAAAGTTCGCCGGAGTTGGTCAAAGTTCACCGGAATTAGTCAAAGATCGATCGAGAAGCGTAGGACACGCTTAAGCTCACTTAAGGTGAGGATGACCGACTATATTGCTTATAATCTTTGGGTTAATTTCATGAGATTCCCTAAATGAATACACAATGTGATTTGCATGGATTATTAATGGTTAATAATGCCTAAATGGAATTACATTTGAATATAAGTATAGTTTGCATAATATACAAATTTATTTAATAAATTGTGTATGTTTATATGTTATGAATATGATGGCATGATAGTAGTATCAACCATAAATCCCATTTGTGATAAGTATGCTTTTATTTCATGAGAAGAAGCCATGAAAGAATAAAAGTGATATTTTGATATTAAGGCCAAACTACATATTGAATGAAGAATTACATTGAAATGAGTAAATAACTAGTATTGAAATATTAGTTGGAATTATAGTTGAATAATGGATGAATGGATCCTAAGAAATTTAATTGTAAAGAATCGGTGATTATTGAGCTGGGCTCTAGACCGATGTAGATAACGGTGATTATTGAGCTGGGCTCTAGACCGTAGTAGTTATCGGTGATTATTGAGCTGGGCTCTAGACCGATGTAGATAACGGTGATTATTGAGCTGGGCTCTAGAACGTAATAGCTATCGGTGATTATTGAGCTGGGCTCTAGACCGATGTAGATGACGGTGATTATTGAGCTGGGCTCTAGACCGTAGTTGATAACGGTGATTATTGAGCTGGGCTCTAGACCGTGGTAAATAACGATAAATTGACACTAAACGAAAAAGGTTAACTATGATATGATAATACCCTGGTTGAGGGTCTTGGAAATTGAAACGTTGATTATACTTAGTATAGTTGTCATTGTACTTGTCAAATGCTTCCAAGTACTGACCTCCCCTTCACGGGGGAGGCCACCTCACAGTTTCAAGTAGGAGCTGAGCTTGCTACCAGTGTCCGTTGCTCCGGGAGAATTCAAGGAAGGAAGACGTGGTTCGTGCTTCCTCCGTTCCTGTTTTAAAAACATTTAAATTAATGCTCATGGATATTATATTTTGAATAATCATTTGGGGGCTTGTATGCCCATGTTTGCCAAAGTGTGGCACGAACGCTCGTACTAAACGTTTCCGCTGCTTTGAATGAATATTTTACATTATGTTTGTTTATGGATGTACTATGTGTGAATGATATCCCAGACGCCTTGTATAGTATGAATGTGTTGGACTGCGGTTGACTATTCGTACTGTACGGCGGATTGTTGACGTGTCCGGATAGGTCCGGGGCGTGACACCTGGCCTGGGTGTCTGGATGGGATGCAATAGAAGCACGGAAGTGGTTGGATACTGTGACGCTGATTGGGCTGGTGATAGGGCAGATAGAAGGTCTACAACTGGCTATTGTACGTTTGTAGGTGGAAATCTTGTGACTTGGAAGAGCAAGAAACAGAAAGTGGTGTCTTGCTCTAGTGCTGAAGCAGAATATAGGGCTATGTTGAAGCTTACAAATGAGTTAGTATGGATCAAAGGGATACTGAAGCACTTGGAGATTAAGCAAGAAACTCCTATGACTATGCATTGTGATAACCAAGCTGCTATACACATTGCTACCAACTCAGTCTTCCATGAGAGGACAAAGCATATTGAGGTTGATTGTCACAAGGTGAGGCAGATGATCGTCTTGGGAGTTATCTTGCCATGCTACACCCGGAGTGAAGACCAGTTGGGGGATGTTTTCACCAAGGCTGCTAGGCAGAAGACTATGGAGTCCATTCACACTAGATTAGGACTCATAGACCTCTCACCAAGAAGGAGCTGATCCCTTAGTCATGAAGTCTTTACTCTTTTTCCCTCATCGAGGTTTTGTCCCAATGGATTTTCCTAGATGAAGTTTTTAATGAGGTAGAGTTCATGGCTTTCCAAGCTTGACTTGTCCGTGTGTGGGTCAAGCTTGAGGGGGAGTGTTGAGTTTACGTTGGTTTTATAGGTTTCTTAACCATTGTATTGTGATGGGTCACTTTGTTATTGGGCCTGGGCAGTGTGGCCCATTTATTTTGTGCATCTGGTTTCCCCTTATCTTTTGAACTCTCTTCTGTATTGTTTTATCGGATAGTTATGCAGAACAGGTTTTTCTAGGGTTCTTGTTCTCAATACATCATTCTCTGTTATTCTCTAAAATCATAAAAACAATATTTACTACCACAAACTGTTCACGCAAACCATATATTTATAATTTGATACAAAATGACTTCAAGATAACGGTCAATGAATAGTTTAAACCCAAGTGGAAACTCAATTTAAATGAATGCAGTAGAGACGAAGAAGGAAATAAACATACTCTTTCTACTGTGGGCAATATGTATTTCTAGTGCAGTAATTTGGATTTTGTGAAGTACGGGTAATGGATTGGTGGGTTGAACTTGAAACATTAAATGGGCAGTAAGTTTCAGTGAGATAAAGATGAGCACTAATTTTATATGCATGTGTTTTGCATAATTAATATAATGAGCAGTATAGGCAGTAATTATGAATGAATGATTATAGTGGTTAAACATGCATGGGCAATAATTTAATATGATATATGTGGCACTAAATTACATAGGCATCATAATAAAGAATGAATGAAAATTGATGTAACAGAACATGGTGGTGCATCTAAACGAAAATAGATAATGGAAATTTTCATGTGGGACAAACGATTGAAAAAAAAGAGGCATTGAGACAGATCTAGATGACACTAGTTATGTACTTATGTATGTGCAGTAATTATTAGACAGTGAAAAGAAATTAAGGAGTTAGTGCATAACTAAACGAAATGAAAGTATACCTATGTCGCAATATAGAGGGCACTAGGGCAATATGTATTTCTGCTCTGAATTAAATTAACAGTGATTTAAGTTATTCAATTAGATATCATTGTAACTTGTAAGTGCATGAAATTATCCCATATTATTTAAGGAAGTGGCCGTTATATATATTGGAAGAACTAATTGATCGATAGACACCTTAATTAATGTATAGTAGTCGTGCATAGCAGTTAGCGACTAATATATATAAGGGAGTGTTTGGAACTGATTCTGCTTCTGCTTCTTTTTTAAAAGCAGAAGCAGAATCGGAATCAGTTTTCAGAAGCTGGTACCCTCCAGCTTCTAAAAAAACTTATTCTGAGAGTAAATTAGAGCTCCAGAAGTGCTTCTGGAATTTCACCCAAACACTCCAGCTTCTGCTTCTGTTCCCTGAAGGAGCAGAATCAGTTTTGAGAATCAGATCCAAACACCCCTTAAATAGGAAGAACTGAAAAACTTCCTATATTTAACATAAAGGGCAGCGTCTGGAATATATATATATATATATATATATATATATAAACTTAATCTTGAGCATTCACGTGAGATAATTATTAGTAATAGTCATACATCCAAAATAATAACTAGTAGAGTAATATATTGGGAAAGAGATGTTGTTTTACTCATATGTGAGGTACTAGTCATACATTGGGAATAATAACTAGTAGAGTAATATATCTGTTCTTCTTGACTTTAATCTAATAGTCATACATTGAGAATAATAACTAGTAGAGTAATATATCTGTTCTTCTTGACTTTAATCTAATTCTCTTTTTATTTATTGAAGCTCACAGCGTCGTCCTTGATGGCCTCCGCCGGCATTCGTGATTGGTTACCGTGGTCCACTTCCATAATCTTCCTCAACGTCAACATGGAAGTGGTGTTTCATGAAGGATTGACGCCGAGAATCGAGGATCCAGGAACCTTGCGATTGTTACTCCTAGTATGTTGGTTACGGTTTCACGGGTTCGAGGCCGGAAGACCTACTTGCTACACTGGTCAGGGGGGCATACCTCACCGACCAGATTCCGGACATTCTGCCTGGAGTGATCATGACGCGATTCCTCTATGGTGACGGTGACCGCTTTGCCACAGGGCCGCCGGTGGATTTTGATAATCTAGCGGCAGTTGAGTTGGTCATTCATCGAGTCGTATATAGATTCGGGTATTGATTTTGGATGTTTCACAGAGTCGTATATAGATTCGGGTATTGATTTTTGATTCATAGAGTTTATACATATTGAGTTGGTCACCGTGTCGTATATAGACCAACTCAACTGCCGCTAAATTCACAGAGTTGGTCATTCATAGAGTCATTCACAAGAGTTTGGGTGTTTCATAGAGTTTATACATATTTTTTTACCGGGGTTTATACATATATTGATCGAGAAATGTATATTGAGAAAATTGATACCTAAATCCTTCTTTGCGTTTTTTGGCCTTTTTCGTATGAATTTGTATTTAGTATAGATGAGGTTGACTGATGAACGTAAAAAGTTTAAAAATGAGTTCAATATGATACAAAATACTTCGTCCTAATCCATATGCTACGTTAATTATTTTCTCGCATCCGAAGTGTTACGTACTGATTTCCCATTCGTTTGTTCTCTCTATTCCGATTTTCCTTGTTTTCCCATGACGTACTCTTGTGCTCTCTTTTCCAAGTGAGTTACGTTTTTACTTCTTATCACTCAAGCTTTTAAATTAAAGGATTGTCCTGCTTAAAAAAATTAAAAAATGCTCTCTTTGACCTAAAATGAATTACAAAATCAAATCAATACATTTAGTTTTAATATAAGTATTGAAGGGAAGTTAAATAAGTATTGAATGGACAATATATGTTCAGAATAAAATAGCATCAATTAAAGAAACTAAAATATAGTAGTTTCTAACCGTTGTTAAGTTGCCCTTATTTTGTTTCTAGACAAAACTCCCGTACACATTTTAGGAGGCTTCGCAACATAAATTGTGGTATTCAAAAAGAGAAACTATGCGATTTTACAATGGGGAATATAATTGTTGCGGTACTACTAATAACCCATGGCACCTACACTACTAGAAAAATGGTCTATAGTGACACTAAATAAGTGTCACAAAAAGTTTTTCTGACACTAGAAAAGTGTCATAGAAGGTCGGGAATTATGACACTAAATTTAGTGTCACAGAGAAAGTGTCAGTAAATAATGACACTTTTATATCATGAAGCTTAGCGACAATAAAACATCATATACTGTAATGATACTTTGGTATCATAGAACTTTTTGACACCATGCTATCATAAAAGCGTATGATATATCAATATATACACATACACTTCTAGTAATAAGATTAAATTGTATTATCTCATAATCATAAAAACTTACTGATATTAATAAATCTATCCATAATAAATAAAATATTAAACATGAATATTCATATTAAATCAAATTGTCATTAAAAATATTCTAAAATTACAACTTCAATAACTCCTTCAAGTTAGACAATTCTAAACATCCAACTAACATAACAAAATTAACTAAAAAAAAGCAACACTCCGGCCTCCATCTAAAAATAACTGTGCCACCCTTATGCTTCTTCGGAAGCAAATTATTATAACTTGTAACCTGAAATCAATGAAACATAATAGAACCCCGAAATATGTTAGTCAAACAAATTAAGTTGCATATAAAAAGTTCAAACATATGATTAAAGAATTTGGTGTACTGAAAATTTAAGAAAAAACAATGAGTTCTTTCATGAATAGCTAAAAATATAATATCATACCATGAATAAAAGATAAAAGACATAATAAAATAAACTAATATAAAAAATTCAATGAATACTGGAACCACTACTATTAACTAAGCATTAAAGTGGACTTTACCACAACTTTGCTCTCCATTAATGTCTTGCTTCTCTTTCTTTTCATTCTAATACTACGTAAAAATTAGTTGTGATGGAAGGAAGTTTGAATCCTATTATGAGCACACTGACCGTTCATCAATTATAAATGCTATTATCTAGGCAATCACGCAAATTTAATAGAAATTGGGAAGGGTATACTCACACTTCATTTAATTGTCTTTTCATATACTTCCTTTTTAGAGATAGAGAAAAAAACCTTTAAATGTGCTAGTTACATTCAAGAAGCTCCCAACAAATACACACAAAGATGTTTTTTCTTCCATGAATCGAGTGAAATTGCCCTAGTAACCCAAATAGTTTTTCTCCAAACTTACTATAATCTGCAAAAAATGACAGAAGAAAAAGTGAGCAATCACTAACACTAGATATCATATGGTTTTCATTGCTGCGTTAAATAAGCCAACAAGTAGTAATGCTAATTTTGAGAAGAAAAAGTGAGCAATCACTAACACTAGTCTATTCGTATTCATTATAGGTTATAAGGTATATGTCCATAATCCATATTTTGAGAAACTAACGGAAACATCTGTTAAGAACTGGGGCAATTTCAATGTTGGACTGGTTATTTGCTTCCTCTTTGTATAGAACTCCATAAGTCTAGATGCCAATTTCAAATGTTATGGAGTCTATTCGTATTCATTGCAGGGCTTCTAAACGCTTAAATAAGTTCCAAAAGTTCAACAACTGAAGACATCTGTTAAGAATTCCCCACAACTAAAGTTCCAATCATGAATTCATTGTATTAGTATACATGATCAAGACATATTCTTTTCGAGTTATTCCCTCTTGCCTCGAAGACTTCAACTTTGAGAGAACTCATACAACTAATACATCTGATAGTATTACATCCGTATACAAAAATAAGTATTTACCCTCAATACTATGAAATAAAGCATCTTGTTGATCACATAACTTAACCTCTTTCAGTAGCCTCTTTATTGATCAAGACTAAAAAATAGACCAATCTCCATGAACTAGATGAGAGTCCCATACAGAAACACACAAATGAAATTGTGTAGGTCCTGTAGGACTTTCGGCACTAGTTATGCACTTAGCTCAACTCGTATAGAAACCCTAATACCCTTTTTTGCTATAAATATAGCTACTTGTATAGTTCTTTATTATCAAGATTCATTGTAATGAAATCCAGTTCATATATTTCACACACACCACAGCCAACTTGAAATGTAGAAAAAAAAAACTTTGAGAAATGTATGATGACCCACTTCCCATCCTAGAATCCAGAGATCCAAAAAATAGAAAGCTGGTGCACTAGAACAAAGGAGATCTAAGTAAGGGCTCTGCTGATTTTTTGTTTTGTTTTAAATTAACCCCAATTTTGGCTTAAAAAAACTACATAATACCTCTTTTCCATGATTGCAAATCTGCAAAGCACCCATTGCAAAGGACATTGCAGAGCTTAA